ACAACTCAAGGGTTCATTAACAAATGAAGAGATAAATTATATATATACATATATTTACCATATTTTATATCTATTTATCTACCATAGGATGTTATTCAGCCATAAGTAGAAATAAAAGTCTAATACATAATACAACATGATGAACCTTGAAAATATGCCAAGTAAAGTAAGTCAAATACAAAAGAACAAATATTGTATGATTCTACTTTTGTGGGGTATCTAAGATAGGCAAATTCATATAGGCAGAAAGTAGAATCGAGATTACCAGGAGCTGGGGATGGGAAGAATCAAAAGTTATTGCTTAATGGCATAGAGTTTCTGTTTGGAATAATGAAAAGAATTGGAAATAGTTGTGAGCATTGCACAACATTGAATGCCACTGAATTACACAGCTAAAATAGTTAAAATGGTAAATTTTCATTATGTATATTTTACCACAATAAAAGAAGTCCTATTCCCATTAAAAAATGAGAGTGAAACAAAATATAAACCATATAAATAAACGATTATCACAAAACGTTGTTTATGGCCCAGCTGACTGTTTCTTCTCTATCTGGCTGGGCTTGCTCATTCACCCGCAGTCAGCAGACGTTAGCTGGGCAGCCCTGCTCCCAGTTTGTCCCAGTTTGTCATCTGCCCCACGTGACAGTTTGTCAGCTGTCACGTGGGGCAATCAGGAATGTGGGCCCCGTGTCTCTCATCTAATCCCATGTAACCACCACCAAAAGTGTAGCTCACATTTGCTTAGGTAGTGGCTTGTCAGGATTCCAAGGCAGGAAGTAGAAGTCTGCAAGGCTTCTGGGTGTGTAGGCTCAGATCTGATGCAGTCACTTCCACCACATTCTGTTAATCAAAGACAAGTGGGGAAATAGTTTGCATCTTTTGATAAGAGAAGCTTCAAAGTCACATTGAAAAATGGTGGGGAACACGAATAAAGGTAAGATTACTGGACGTTTCTTGCAGTCTATTAGGTTGTAAAAGCCCTACAATAAGGGACTGAATAAATGAATAATGCAAATATTGGAATAATAAACAGTAATTGTAATTTTAAAGAATATTTAATAAAATGAGAAAACAGGAATTTAATAATACTAAATATATTAAAATAAATATATTAAAATATATAAATATTAAATAATGTGGAAAATATTAAACTCTATACACATATATATGTTGATGAATACATACACATTTATTCTCTATATTTGCTAAATGATAAACTTACTCCTCTTGAAACTTAGGGAAAAGTCAGCTTTCTTAATAACATTTTAAAAACTGTGCTTGTGTTTCTTTTATCCATATATTCTCGAACTTACTTGAACTTTGGAGGCAAGTTTATAAAGATCAAAAATTTTAATGTGGCCTTTGTGTTATCTCTTATATGACTGACAATAAATATTAGTAATCCAGGATTAATTTAGATCCTACTATACTGGAACTGTTGAAAAGACAATAACAATTATTTTTGGCATTCTACAATCCATCTTTATCTCAACCTTTATCTTTTAATCTAGATATCCTCTGCTGGAAGCAAAAAGCTTAAATAACTAGGGCAACAAATCAGGACCAATGTACTTTCTTGAATTTAATGGATAGCAAGAGAAGAAAAGCATTACATTCTACCTGAAGTTTATTTTTTATTGTTTACTCTTAGAGTTCACTTCCCAAATCATGCTTTATTTCATCCCTTCCACACATATTCACTGAAAGAGTTTTCACACTCCCTGTTTTTGAAGAGTTGAGAATTCAGTGGAAAGACATCTAAGTGAACAAACATAACATTTTTTGTTGTATCTGTTCGTCTGCTATAATAGAAGGCAGTAGATAGTACCATATGAAACCCTCTGACTCTAACATATTTTTCATTTTGTGGAGGAGGGAGGTGTTGGAGGTAGTTTAAGAAGGTTGATTTTTAAGAATACGGATTTGAATTTCTTCTTTCGCCAAATATTTATAGTCCACCTATTTTGTGCTAGCTAAGTGTGCCTAAAATGTATTAGATACTTCAAGTAGAGCAGTGGAAAAAATTCCTCTTATTCTAGGCACATCCTATGTGAGGAAAAAAACCGTAATGAAATAAATACATACCACTGAAAGGAGTAATAAGTGCTATGGAGAAAATAAGTGAGAGAAGAGCTGAGAGAAGACCTGGAAAGTGTGACAGGCAGAGAACAGTGTGACGGGGTGATTCTGGGACATCCTTCTGCCCATCTTCCTTCTACCTCCAATGCTTTGAAGATGCAAGTTCACCCTTCAGGAATCTCTCATCGGGTGACTGGACTGGAGTACTCATATTACTCTCCTTCTCTTGGAATCAAAGTTGCTTAAGACAACACGATCTTTCTCACACGTGCTTGCCAACTCACCGTAAGCCCAGGGTTGCTACTTAAAAATCTATGTAGACCAAGGAGATCACACCAATGAATGAGTTGAGTCAAGTATAAGATCTCAGAGGGGTTGTGAGGCCTAAAGTGTAATGGATAGTGTCTGTTTCCGTTAAACAAATTCAAATAACATTTTTCAGAAATCACTCATTTTGGGGACAGCAGGTTTTTATTCCTTCTGTAAGAAGACCCTCACTCTAGGTGACTTAATGAGGTCCGTGTCAAATTGCCAAGGGCAAGTGATATTTTAAATCAGCAAATACAAATTATGTTTGCTGGGGTCAGTTGACTCATTCTTTTGTTAATGCAGTTGAGAATTTAAGAGATTAGTAGTGTGTGGATACTAAGAAATAATCTCCATTCAAATAACTCTGCAGTAAACATTTGCTTTTGTTTCCTCACTTTTCTCTTGATTTTTCTTTGGGGAAACAATTTTTCACCATTTTGGCAGCCTGAATGGGGCCACCCATCAAGTTTACTCCCATCCCCAAATCCTAACTCCCACCCAACAAACACTGTTCCCAGGCAAGGAGTGGCCTTAGATATGATCCAAGTCTAAGCTGATGCTAGCGCTCTTGATCTTAAGGCATTTTCCCTTTCTTTTTTCACTGTGGTAAAATATGTATAACATATTTATCATGTTAACTATTTATAAGTGTTTGATTTAGTGGTATTAAATACATTTACAGTGTTGGGTAACCATTGCCACTATCTATAATCAAAACATGTTTGTCATCCCTAACATAAACCCTTTATTCATTAAACAATAACTCTGCCTTCCTCACTGTCTCCAGATCCTGGTAATCTCTATTCTACTTTCTGTCTCTATGAAATTTGTCTACTCTAGGTACCTTATATAAGTGGAATCATACAATATTCATCCTTTTGCGTCTAGCTTATTTCACTTAGCACAATGTCTTCAGGGTTCATGAATGTTGTAACCTATATAAAAATCTTATTTCTTCTTATGGCTGAATAATATTCCATAGTGTGTATATAGCACATTTCATTTATCTATTTATTTGTTGATGAACACTTGGGTAGTTTCTACCTTTTGGCTATTGTGAATCATGATGCTATGAATCCTGGTGGAAAAAGCTGTTGGAATTCTGATAGAAATTGTGTCAAATCTGCAGGTTGCTTTGAATAATATTCACATCTTAACAAGGTTAAGTCTTCCTATCCATGAATGTGGGGTGTCTTTCCATTTCTTAAGATCTTCCTTAATTTCTTTCAACAATATTTTACAGTTTTCAGTGTACAAGATTTTTCACTTCCCTCTTTAGATTTATTCATAAATAAATCTAAATTTAAATAATCTTTAAAATTTTAAAGATTCTATTGTAAGTAAAATTAAAAATTACTTTTTAAATTTTCTTTTTGGATTGTTCATTGGTGATATACAGAAACACAATTATTTTGTATGTGGGTCCTGTGCCCTGCAACTTTGCTTACTTCTTTATTAGCTCTAGTAGCATGCTTGTGGATTATATATATGTGTGTGTATATAACACATGTATATACATGTATACACACATACACATATATATAATTTTATCTGTGAATAGAGATAGTTTTACTTTTTTCTTTCCAACTTGAATGCCTTTTTCTCTAAAACTTTTGAATTTTAATCTTGGAAACTGAAGTTAACTAGAACTGAATTATCCCGGCAGCAACGTCCTCAAAAGATAGCCTATACTGCCGAAGTTCAGAAGAGTGACTGCAGGTCATGTGCTTCCAAAGGCTAGATTTTGTACTATTTTCTCTTTGATTCTGTTATCACTTTTTAGCAGAATTTGTTTCTGGTACTCCTAACTCAGGAACTCTAGATGATCTACTATCCCATCCATTTTCTTTTGAGCAAACAGAACGTTTTTAAAAACTAACATAAAGGAAGATAAAATAGGGTCTAAAATTGGACTTCATGATATTAGATCCAGTTCTCTTTATTAGTACTTCTTAGTTTCAGACTACATAAGAATTCCCCTGTTAAATGGTTTAAAATGCAAATTACTAAAAGTAATCACTAGAGATTTTAGTTACTACTTTTTAACAAACAGCCTAGGTGATTTTCATGTGTATGAACCACATACTACACTTTGAAAACCACCGTATGTTTTGCAGGACTGGCCTCTATAATGTATTTGCCAAACAATGATCTAGTTAATGATTGAATACCTCTAGGGTTTTGCTAAACTCTCTATACCGCAACATGAATTCATGTCATTTGGGAACAACTCTTTTTTAAAAAGTAAAATAATAATAAGGCTTTTGTATTTTGGCTACCAATATACTCGGTATGAAACTGAATCACTGAGTCATAGAATTTTATGTTTGTAGAATTATAGAGTTTTTTCATTCTCCTTCCCTTAAAAGAAATAATTTCAAAGAATCAAATGAGCCAAACAAGACATATGTCTTCACATAAATGCTTTCTTCTGAAATACATATTTCTTTTTGTTCTAAATAATTTAATTTCACATAAGCATTTGTACGTGTACTTGTAATGATCTCATCTCCATGGTAAAAAAGTGGTATCTTGGGTATTGCTGGGTAGAACCCCAAATCCCAAAATAGCAATCCTCTTTTTTCTAACAGAGATCTATTTTCTTTCAGTCTTGACAACTTTTCTGTCTTGAAGAGTGAAATGATGCAGACCCCTCAATGAAGTGCTAAGCTTTACCAGCTAATGACTCGGATACCAGTGACACCAGAAGCAGGGTGCTGAGAGAGAAAATGAACGTGCTGTCGCTGTGAGAACTGTGTCAGATTGTTTTACATTTCTTAATTCCCCTTGATTCCTGGTTTTCATTTCTCCATCTGTTTCTCCATAGTGGTTGGTATTTAAACTCTAAAAAGAACATGTGCTGCTGGAATAAGATGTTTTATTTAAATAAAAGGATAGATATCTGATAATGTGCATGTGAGATCTTCCAAGGTTATTAGCATTTTTCATATTAATCAGAACCTTACACTCATAGGATAAAATCATCATACCATGGTAGAATTGTTGGTATCAGCTAGATTTAAAATGGGCTTCTGGTTGGGGGAGTGGGGGTAAACCAGAGCTTTTCTGTTTGTAAAGTGCCTCAAGTTCACTTATTTGGCTGTGTGAAATAATAATCTTACAAGACAAAACAGTTTAGCGGAATGAACACAGGTTAAAGTCCACCACACTTAACTTCAAACACTAGTTGCATAGTCTGGGTATAAAACCTGATTCCATAGACTCTATTTCTCTATTTAATTCAATTGTATTTGATTCAACATATAGTTATTGAACACATGCACTTGAAACTGCAGAGCCCTAGAGATACGATGGTGTTTGAGAGATTCCTTGCCTACCTTTACTTAGCTTAAAGTGGAGCAGGAGAATGAACAACAACCAAAATAACACACAAAGGTCAGTTATGATATATACACATATTACACATTAGGGGAAGAATTTTGAGAATATACTACAGATTAAATAAGTAACAATGGTTACTTTCTCTTCTTTCCTTCTGAGAGAGCATGTTGAGCATGATAATGACATGGCAATTCAATAACATTTTCTTTCAAGTTCTGACACATTTGTTCAGAGAAAGTATCGTTCTGGAAGCCTGCAGGTACACACACGCATGTGCGTGTATTTTCTTTAGTCACTATCTTCCTCATCTTTTAACTGCACGGTTGAATTAACAAATTATTCCTCTGGAAATGGATTCTTATTTTGAAACATAAAAGTGCCTTCGTGACTAGAAAATAAAATAAAATGAAAAAAATGAACATGTGTATAGATTTATAGTTAAATAGGAGGTGGAAGCTGGAAGTCTCCAGATCTACCCACCTAGTTTCACTGACAGATAATCTGCATCAGAGAAGGCGCCTGCCTTCCCAAGGTCGAGGAAAAGTAAGATGCTCAGCCATGCAGAGAACTCTGATCTTTCCATTCCCAGTCCAGGGTCAATAATGTCAGTCAATGCCATGTTTTCAGAAATGCCATCTACACCCACAGTGAACCTCATGAATGGGAAGCATGATTTTATCTGCAAATGCAAAACAGAGGAATGGCTTATCTTCAGCCTAATTGCCAGATGAGGTTGACTGACTCTGAACAGGCTGTTTGTCTGATAAGACTGTCAGTGCTCTAGAAAGAGCACAGATTGAGGTGTTGTCCAAGTAGTGGTAAATGCAGATCTTTGAAAACAAAGCTTGACTAAACAGAAGAACCCCAACCTCTCTTTATAGTGTTAACTAGGATAAAATGCTAGCCAAAAGCAGACTGAAGCTGAAGAAGCAGTATTTTAGCGCTTCCTCCCTATTTACCTGAGAACTTTCAGTGCTCAATTTTCCAAACCCACCAGCTCCCTTCATAGCCTCACATCTCCTTGAGGTTTATATCTGGCAGAATGAAGTCCCAGAGTCCCCAGCTGTCAAAGTAGATAAGTCTTGCTAAAGAACTGAACGTCAAGGGCGTCAGAAATAAAATAATTGTCTGCAATTGGTTTACACATAGTCAACGCCTTTCTGTTTTACACAGTCACTAACTGGCAAGATCAATAAAGATAAATTTGAGTAAATCTGGAGATTTTTGAGTGGTATTAAATATGCACAAGTAGCATTTGGAGGCACTCAGGAAACAACAATAACACATTTTAAAAACCTGAGGAAAATAAAAAAAGACCGAATGTGAAATAGCACAGTGATTTGGAGCTCAAGCTTTTAAAACAAGCAATTGTAAGGAGAGTAGAGAATGCTTTTGCTGGCTCTGTTTTACTCACCCACAAAGCCCCATGCCCTTAGCAGAGACTATGAGGTGCCCTCTTACCAACCCTTGTCCATCACCACTCCATTGTGCATGTTGAAGACTTCCTCACTGATATGCATTATGATGATCAACACCAAGGCTCCCTTTTCTCTCCACACTTTATATGATGAGAATTTACAATCACATACAGAGTTAAAGGAGTAGTACATTAGTCACCTTTATCCACGGTTTCACTTTCCAAGATTTCAGTTACCCTCAGTCAACCTCAGTCTGAAAATAAACAGTTTCTAAGTATTAAACTGCAAGCTATTTTGAGTACTGTGATGAAATCCATCCTGCCTGGGTCATGAGTCATTTCTTTGTCCAGTGTATCTACTCTACATACACTATCCACCCATTAGTCATCTACATGGTCTGCTCCTGAAATCCCACCATCAACATTATCATGGCTCAGTGATCCAGGATCACCTGAAGCAAATAATCCTCCTTCTGACATATCTTCAGAAGGTCAGTGGTAGCCTAATGCCTCACTCCAATGCCTATGTCATTTATCCCACTTCATCTCATCATTAGGCATTTTATCATCTCACATCATCATAAGAAGGGTGAGTACAGTACGATTAGAAATTTTGAGAGAGACCACATTCATATGTTTTACCATAGTATACTGTTACGTTCATTCTCTTTCATTATTAGCTATTGTTGTGAATCTCTTAACTGTGCCTAATTTATAATTAAACTTTATCATAGGTAGGTATGCTTAGAGAAAAACATAGTATATAGAAGATTTGATACTAGTCACAGTTTCAGGCATCTATGGGGGGGGTGTCTTAGAATGTATTTCCCATGGATAAGGGGGATTTATTGTACAGGGATTGGTAAACTATGCCTGAGAGCCAAATCCAGCCATGTGTATTCTTAAGTGCATTGTCAATGTCTGCTTTAGCACTGTAAGGGCAGTGTGGAGTAGCTATGGCAGAGACCTTCTAGAACACAAAGCATAAGAAGTTTGTTATTTACTATTTTTTTAGTGTAAAGGACTATGTATATGTAAAGTGGCTTCTACAGAAAAAGTTTGCCAACCCTCGGACTTGCACAAAGAACACTTGTATACCTTCTGAGAATTGTCAAAAGTTGTTAACATTTCATCATAGTTGCTTTATCTCTCTATATTTATAAATACAAAGGGTTTATAGTTATATTTTTCTGATCCATATGAAAATAAGTTGCTGATATCCTGACCTTTTCCTTCTGAACACTTTGGATACCTCTGCTAGGAATAAAGACATTCTTCTATAAAGCCACAATGCCTTTTGCACATAAATAAATTAATAATTATTCATAATAGCCCACAGTCATAATTTCTCAACTATCCTTAGACTCTTTCTATATTTGTTTGAAATTTAAAATCAATATCCACTCAAAGTTTTATGCATTATCTTTCATCATTATGTTTCTTCGAATTCTTCCTTCTAAAACAAGTCTGTCATCTTATATTTTTTCTTTTCTCCCCCAGTTAATATTGATTTCTGGCAGAGTCTAGGCCAATGGTTTTGTAGAAAACTCCACATCTATATTAATTTATATTTACTGAATTCTTCATGGTGTGATTAGCCATTTTTCCCGTCTTCTATTTTTTCTGGAAACTGAGCATTGGTTCTAAAGGCTTGCTTAGATACAAGTTAAACATTTTTGGCAATGTCATTTTACAACATAAAAGGAGAAAAACAAAATCAAGTTTTCTAACTATTGTCAAGGCAAAGTTTGATCATTTGGTTAAGACGATGGTCAACATGATGTTGGTATGGAAAGGTACATGTTTCCTTTTGCTATTTATCTACAAGATTTCCTGGGGTGGCAAAGGAGGTAGGGATCTTTTGGCATCATAGAATATCTGTTTTCCCTGAAACTTTTTATTCAATGATTTTTTATTTCTGTGATATTGCATTCTCCCATCCCTTCTCCTACTCTTTTCTATTTGGCTGTTCCTTTATAATAAACTAGTAAATAAAAAAGAAGCGACTTCCTGAGTTATGTGAGCTGTTCTAGCAAATTATCAACACCAAGGAGAGAATTGTGGGAACCCTAGATTTATAGCTAGTCAGTCAGAAGCAGGAAAGTCCCCAGGACTCACTCTTGGCATCTGAAATAAGGGCAGTCTTGAGAGACTGAGGCTTTCACCTATGGGGCTTGATGCTAACTCCAGGTAGTTGATGTAAGAAATGTATTGAATTATTGGACACCCAGTTGGTGTTGAGAGAGTTAGAGAATGGCTGTTGGTGTGGAAAAACCCACACATTTGATTTCAAAAGTTTTGTGAGTAGAAACAGGTCATAATTCCATTGATGATCATTGCTTAAGTCAATTAAAAATGACTGTTGTTTTTCTAATTCCGTAATATCTTCTACATATGTAAGCTGACATTCTTCTGTATAGGACAAGGTTTTATTTATTTATTTATTTTTACCCTTTTGTTTCTCCCTTACTCCGCCTCTCTCATATCATTATAAATTTATAAATTCTAAAAAATTAAATGTACTACAATAAATTATAACCATTCTTTTTTTGTGCTTAAATTTCCAAAAATTAGCCAGTAGGAACCCCTTCCCTCTGCCCTTGTATGCGTTGGATGTAGCCCATCGGTGTTTGAATTCTTTCTTGATTTCTGGCCAAAAAAAAAAAAAAGTCTAGTTTACCTTGTACTTTCCCACCTCAAACCTAGAATCAGTCATTCCTATAAGGATCTCTGGCTTTTTTCTTTTTTTTTTTGGTTTGGTGATGGTATTGAGAAATCAAGATTTAGGTAATGCAGTGTTTGCTTTTTGGGGGGTGCCATCTTTTCTAGACTTTTTCAATGTACACATGCATGTATAGATACTTACATAAAATTATTAGTTTGTATTAGGTGCCAGGACTCTTCTTATTGCAAATTAAAGGTAACTAACCCAAGAGACTGAAGGCATAATAGAAATGAGAGATATTGACTAGCCCTGTAAGAGGAAGTATGGCTTTAAGAATAGCTATGTCCAGGACCTCAAATGATGCTTTACATCTTACTGGATTTCTCAGCTCTAACTTTTCTCTGTATTAGGTTAATTCTCAGGCACTGCCACTCATATCCCCAACAAGCGATGCAAAAGTTCTAAAGCAGTAGTTCCACTGTACT